AATTTTTAAAAATGATTATAATTAAATTTTAAATAATAAATGTCAGATCATTTAAGCCTAAAACTAAGTCAATGAGTTGCTCCCGGTTTTTTTATTTTTTATTTTTATTTTTTGTGTATCAATCTCTTTGCTTCAAACTGTCTTTATCTTCGTTCAAAACTGCAAGTTTTTTTATGATGGGATTAACCTGGGACAAACCACTAGGGTGAACTTTGTTTAAACTGCCCTCATCGCTTATTTAACTATTGCATTTTTAACAGTGTTGTTTTCAGTGTTAGGTTTACATTAGGCGTAAATGATCCCATATAAACAGATATGAAAAAGATACATCACATAAAACCTTTCCTTCTGAGCCTGTTTATGACCATTTTATTGATGTTTTATTCTCTTAGTATATCTAGAACAGTGGTTCTCAACCAGGGGACCGGGACCCAAAAGGGGCCCTCAGCAAACCTCCAAGAGGGGCCACAGAAAGATTTTAAAATATTTAAATGAATAAATTATTGTTAATATATTAAAATAATTTAACTAATCTGAATTAAAATGCTAAAAATAATAATAATAAAACCAAGATGTAAATCAAATTTTCTTTTTTCTCCCTTTGTTGTTTTTATTTCAGAACATACAGTGGGCCTTTGAATATTGTGTTGTACAACAGGGGCCATTAAACTAAAAAAGGTTGAGAATCACTGATCTAGAATATTATTGAAAGTATAAAGATGGACCACATGCAACCAGTGCATTGCATGTGCATTACGCCATGTCTTTGCATTCATATTTGTGAATTTATTGGCCTTCTGAACTTAACTACTGCATTTACTATTTGAAATGATAATATTAGGTTGACGCAAGGAGTCCAAAGGTCGGCCATGAACTACACAAAAATAAATAACACTTTAACTGGCTACTGTTTAACAGCCCATTTCTCAGTGAAATCTGGCCCTGGATAAATCAAGGTCTTCTCCGCTACGCTTTTTGCTAGTCAAACATGGCTCAGCAGGAATACAAAATGCTTAGTGACAAAATGTTCACATACAAAGGAACAGTCTTAACTTTGTCAGACAATTATGATCTTACTCCAGAATATATTGACAATTTGGTGGATTTTGAAACGAAGGACGATGATGTCTTTGTTGTTACCTTCCCCAAATCCGGTAAGTGAGATATTAGGCTGTATTTATGAGATTTCTATTTCAAAGTACCTCTGTAGTCCAACTTTCAGCATACTTTGACTTTGCCACAGTTTAAGCTAGCGGAACAGTGTGAACTTTGCATTACCACATAAATGTTTAAAGTTATATACCAAAAATTCAGTCAAGTCCAATATAAGTATTTTATGCTGGACTCTACGCCGGTCTCTCAGGTACGGTATGGACCCAACGGATCATGACGTTAATATATGCTGAAGATTTCCCGGACAAAGCCGACCAAATCACATATGACCAGATGCCCTGGCTAGAGTATCGGATAACGGGAAGAGATTACAACACACGTCCATCTCCAAGACTCTTCTGTTCTCATTTACTCCAGCCGCTGATGCCCAAAATGCTGCAAAGAAAAGGAAAAGTGGGTATATGTTCATCAATCGATGGCTTGATGTCATGCACCGGTTTTAATACATCTGTCTTTGCTGTCAGGTCATCTATGTCATGAGAAACCCTAAAGATGTCATGGTGTCATATTTCCATTTTTCCAACAATATGAATCACCTGGATTCATCTGAGAGCTTCGATGAGATGCTGGAAAAATTCTTCACAGGATGCAGTAAGAGCCAAAACACTGTAGCTTAGGCCTATATACAGTGTTGGGAAGTAATAGTAACTAGTAACTTAGTTACTGTAATAATATTACTTTTTACAGTAACTAGTAGTGTAACTAATAAGATTTCAGTAATAATAATATTACAGTTACCATCCAAAAAACAGCTTAGTTACTTTTGATGCCTCAACCACGCTGAAAATCCAACAATCAAATCATTCCTAGATTTATTTTCACGACTCGCACATGCATGTGATGTCCCCAGTGCAGCAGGCAAGCTTGGAATAAAATCTTACATTCAGCAGATAGATATATTGCATTATATCGATTTTGTCAGGAAAAAAAGATGATCTGAACACTGTTGTGTAAGTTGTGGCATCCCTCTGATCAGCATATGGTACATCCTATTAATATAATTAAAAATCATTTTGGAAAATTAAACAGTTTCTTACAAACTTATGTGATTTGATCAAATACATAATGAAATATAATCGTATATGGGTAATGGAGAAATTACAATTAGCTTCAAGCTGCACATGACAATTAATGAGATTAATACTTCTACTTGAATGTCATTATCAATCACTATTGAGTGTTTGTAATAACTTCTGACTGCGATCCAATGTGGATTTTGGTCAAATGATGAGGCAGAAATATGTTGTTAGTAACATTCTAGAAGAATTTAATGTGGAAGATACACAGTTACAACTTCTGTGGGGCGTGAAGAAAAAGTAAAAAGTAACTAGTAGTGTAACTATTTATTGTTGCCAGAAAGTAATAAGTAAACTAACAATATTACTTTTGAAAGGAGTAACTAGTAATGAGTAATATATTACATTCTTTGAGTAACTAGCCCAACACTGCCTTAATATAATTTTTTTGAATAACAGATGAAATACATGAAGACTGGTAATATTGACAGTGTTGGACAGTGTGATAGGTTGAGAACGACTCTTGAGGTACCAGCACCAGTTTACATCAGACAACAGCAAGGTGCCAAGGCAGTCCTGGTGTGAGCTGCTACTAATAATGAGCAAGATGGGCCTTTCAGAGTAGGAGATGGAGTTAAAGGGGTCCTATTATGCTTTTTCACTTTTTAAATTTTTGTCAGTGTGTAGTGTGTATGTTTGGGCATAAAAAAAGATCTAGAAAGTTGCAAATCTCCCTTTGAGCTTTCCATCAAACTTTCTTTGGAGTTATTGTATTTCTCTTTGGATATACGGTATATAAATATCTGTATGAAATGTACAAATCTTTTATCAGGACCTCAGATCCGTCGTTGTGAAAATCTGTGAGTTTGTGGGAAAGAATCTGTCAGACGCAGCGATCGATAAAGTGGTGGAAACAGCCACGTTCAAGCACATGAAGAAAGACCCCTTGGCCAACTATGAATTCCTTTCTCTGACTGTCACAGACCGTCCAAAAGGACTTTTTTTGCGCAAAGGTCAGACAAAAGTGAAAAATCAAGAGTTGGTCTTTTAAGCATTTTCATATTTCTAAGCATTATTATTTTCCCTGCATGTCTCAATCAGGCCTGTGGACAATCTAATCATTATTAATGCAACGTCTCTTCTAGGAGTGACAGAAGATTTTGAAATTGATCATTATTTAAAAGTTCATTATTAAATGTGATAAGTGTGACATATTAGCTAATGTTTTCAATCTGCTGTATTACAGGAACAGTTGGGGACTGGAAGAACTCTTTAACCGTGGCTCAGAGTGAATGTTTTGACAGCGTCTACCAGGAAAGAATGAAGGACGTACCTCTTAACGTGGTCTGGGACATCTCAGAATTGCAGGGATGAAAACTCAAGCCGTGACATCCATTTTACAAACTAATAAAGATAAAACACTATCACAATAATAAAAGGAAGGCATGATGGATGTATTGGCTACACGACCATATCAAAACTGATAACAGATAACTTGACGGAGGTTAAAGGGTTATTGTGAACATATGAATTTACAGTCTGTAATTTTCAACCTATTTTATATTTGATCAATGTAATCATTTTTACATTTATGTTGTAAATGTTAAACAAACAAATAAATGAAATCCTGGCAGTTATATTAAATTTTGGTAAATGTAAATCTCAAAATTAAAAGTCTTTATTCCCAAAATATAAAATGTACCTCCCATCTCTATATTGTTTTGAAAGACTCAGAAATATATACATATATACAGGTGCATCTCAATAAATTAGAATGTCGTGGAAAAGTTCATTTATTTCAGTAATTCAACTCAAATTGTGAAACTCGTGTATTAAATAAATTCAATGCACACAGACTGAAGTAGTTTAAGTCTTTGGTTCTTTTAATTGTGATGATTTTGGCTCACATTTAACAAAAACCCACCAACAAATTAGAATACTTCATAAGACCAATAAAAAAAAAAATGCGCTGTTCTCAAACTTCCACGTGCGCATGGGAAGCGCATTTCTCGCAAATAGTCATCTTCGCTAGTTCTGTGACATAATTGTTGACATTTATTGTTCTTTGCGTTAAGTGGCACTACATTACATCTTTAATAAAAATGTCGTGTTAGGATTTTCCTCATTCTGTCGGCATGTTTTTCTGTTGTACCTAAGCACAGATGTCTGGATAAAAACACCACCACAGTAAGTACGAGCATTTCAGAAAAATACTAATAAACAAATGCAGCTTTTCATATAGTTCTTACTGTAGTTGAATAACAATAGGACATTCATATTGTCTGTAGAAATCTATCATTTGAAATTATAATTTTGTACTTGACAACCGTATTAAGACCAGTTTTAATGCATTTGTGCAAGATTATTCAGCATTCATTTAATTGATCTTAAGTAACCATTAACAAGTAAACCTGTTTATTTACATATTTAATTTGATATGTTCTCATATTTCTTCCCTTTAATAACGTAACGATGCCTCGTTTCTACAGCTCTAAACAAGCTAAATAAAAAAAGGACAAAAAAAAACCAAACATAATGCCTAAATCAGCAAAGAAACTGACTAAAATGGAACATCAGAGTTCAGATGATGAAGAGGACGTTTTAGAGATGGAGAGAAACTTTGCGGTAAATATCATATATTATGTTGGGTGTCCTTATTAGTGATAATCACCATGTTTAGAATGAAACCATCATATTTAAAAACATGGTATTAATCATATCATATAATAAAATATAATTTGTTGTTACTACTATAAATGTATATTCAATTATTATTGGATCTCCTTCAGTACTTTCAGAATCTTTACTTAGATGCAAACTTCAGCAGAGGATGAAGAGGAATTGAGAAATGAAGATGCATCTGCAGAGGAAGACGAAGAGGATGAAGACAATGGCGTGGATGATGAAGATGAGTCAGGGAGTGATGAAGATGAAGCAGATAGTAACCCTGAAGATGTACAATCACACACGGAAGGAAACCTTAAAAAAGGTAAGATCAGATATTTATGTAACCCTGGCAATGGTTTTATCATTTAAGTTATTATTTAGGAATATTTAATTGCTGATACTGTTTAAAAGAGCAATTTTACATTTACTTTCATGTCTTTGTTTTTGTGTAGAATTGTCAACCTTGTCCTTTGAGGAAATCATGAAGCTACAGAATAAAGTTGGAACAAAAGCGTACAATAAAATCGCTTATGGTGCCACAAAGCCTCAGAAGAAAACCGAGCCCATGAAACGATTAACTAAACACAGGTACCTGCAGTGTTTAGTATTATTTCTATTGATTAATTATTATAGGATTTTTTCATATTTTGATTTTGCTTTTATATACTTATTTTCCATTTCAGTTAGTTGTCAAGGCAGTATGTCCAATTTTTTTTTAAGTTTTCATATTCATAATATTAATATTCTATTAGATTTGTTTCATTTCTGTTAATGAAAATTATTTTAAATAGTTTTAGTTACCAATAACAACACTGCCCTGCTCAGCTAGGCTTTTTAAATTTGTAACCACCTTTAATCAATGTTTTTAGTGGTGCATCGTGCTAAAAAAATAATAATTTATGTGAGTTAAAGTTATTTTGTATAGCTGTTTTTGGCTTATGTGTATGATTTGTCTAAAAACTATATGTTTTTTAGCCCTCAA